GGTTGTCACGTGCAAGTGCACAAATAATTGGTTAGTAACGAGAGCATGGGTCATCACATCAGCACGTAGTGCAGGCTCCCACATCCGCACAAAACTCCTTCGTGTTGCCAAAGGTGATGCTATTTTAATCGTACACAGGATACCATTTTCTGTCAATACGGACGGTTTTCTGACTTTCTGTCCTAATTATACTTTTGGTTACGTGCAATTACGTAGATTTTAGTGCGTTTGTGTCTCGAGTTGTAAGCATCAAACATATATAATGGAAGCTACAAGCTGCCTAGCCGATGCAATATCCGAGCACAGGGAGCTCTCAGGTGTTCGTCTGCGTCTGCTGTCTTCTGGTTGTATTCACACACTCTAAATCCAATAGAAGCTTTGTTAGCCACTGCAAACATCGAAGGAGGTAGTCGGCCGATGAAAATGTTAATAACCAAAAGCTTATCTGAATAGACACGAAATAGTCATGAACGGCATATAAAAACTACGCTCAAGCTTCAAAATGTCCCTTGGGGAAGGAGGAGCTGAATACTATCACCAGAAAGTGGATCAAACTGTAGGGTCCTCGTAGGAAGTGCAACTGATACTCATGACTATCTAACGGGAAAGGTGGAGTTAGAGACTACCACCAGGTCGGGGACAAACCATCCTGCACCGTCAACGCGAAGGCAAGCCACTTACATGTTTTTATCAACATTCTAAGGCACCGCCTTCATGTATTCAAAGGAGAAAATCCCTGTCTTTGTGGGCCGCTTTATGTAAATGACTAGAGTTTTTGCAGAACGAAAAAGGTTGTGATCAAGGAGCTCATAAAAGAACGAGGATGGGCTCGCCGAAACAAAGTTATCAAACAGTCGGCGTATCGGAGAGGTTTGTCTGCGCGACGACGAAATCAGCCAATGGACGGAAAAAGGTAACTGAACAACTCCACAGAAGCGCAAAGACCCTCCAGAGAGGCGACGACCAATCGCAAACTAAGACATCAAGCACGCTTAATAGCTACAAAGGACCGAAGTAACAAAAGCAGAAAAGATAACGATGAAATCACGGTTAAATAACTCTACAGGAGCTTTCCATTACTCTCTAATGTTGCTTATTTATCACTTTGACAATAGAGAGTCGGCAAAACTCTAGGAAACTTAAGCAGCCTAATAGAGCTGTTAAAGTTGGATTTGTGCACTAAAATATCCTACGCTGGATCTCGACCATGATGCAAACACAAGATGTCCTGCATACGCAAACGGTTCTATTGTTACCTTCTCAGTGCTGCTGCTTATCATTTCATTCCATGTGTTTTTAAATCAGCGTATTGTGCTCTACCTTATGCGACAGTGTGTAAAGCGAAGAATTCGTACGTCCGGGCTACTAGTATCGCGAAAATAAGTGTGCATCTGCGCATTTTTCCAGTAAAGGGTCACGAACGTGCCACATCGGTGAATTTCCACACAATATCCCCGGCATTTGCCACGTCAAGCCCTGCTAACCGCCCCTCGTA